TGCCTTAATTCCTGACCATTGATAATCTTTTTTTCTTTTCCTAATTTTAAATGTATGACTGATGAAACTTGCTAAAACAAATTTCAAGTTGTTAATTGCAAAATTCCATGCTTAATCATCCATTGTTTTTCCTTATGACCAGAAATTTTTCATTTGTTAGTGCAGAAAATGACTAAAGCTAAACAAGAAAATGGTGGAATAACAGTAAAGCTAGTGGGCATCAGTAAGAAAAATGGAAAATTCTACAGATATCTGTTTCAAGTATAACCAGCACTACAACTGTGAAAATTGTTTCATTCCCCCACTACCTTATCATCAGAATGTGTATCTGTGATACAGTACATGTAATAATTAGATTGAAGGGAACATTTTGACATAGCGGAAGCCATTGATTCTAAATATGGATAATCTTATTAATTGATTATTTTTTATTAATATCAGTCAGTTCAAAACACTATTTAAAATTAATTAAAAATTTAATTTTACATAAATTTATCGCAATGAATTTAAAACCAATTTTTATATCTTTTGCTTAATGTTATCAGCCAATTATTTTTATCTCAAAGATCCTAAATTCATAATAATAAGCAATTTTCACTGTATTTGTAAATAGTAAATTTTTATAGTAACAGTTATTTTAATAGCTCAATGAAAAAAATGTCCATTTATTTTTATTATCATCGTTATATTTCAATTTCTGCTATGGTCACACTAACTACCAAGTCTACAGGAAAACCTAAGGCAGGTAGTGATCTGTTGTTATGGCTACATTTCCTGATTTGTTTTTCTAACTCCCATGACACCACTAGCATTACATGGACAAAGTTCTTCTTAGTGTGTGGACTGTACTTATCAAGACAATTTTTTGTATTTCTCTTAAACTGGGATTTTCAATGTGTTCCTTTTTTTATTATTCCAAGTGCACCTACTATGACTGGTACTATTCTTGTTTTAAATTTCCACATTTTTCTATTTCAATTTCTTCAATATTTTTTCACATTCCTTGGTTGCTATGTTACAGTCCACTGGGTAAGCCATATCAATTAGTAGGCAAGTTTTTTCTTTTTGGTTTTTGACAGTTATGTCCAGCTTATTTTCTTCAATTTTCCGGTTTGTAAAGATGTTGTAATCCCATAGAATTGCGATGTCTTCTAGTTCTGTAACTGGTGCTGGGTAATGTTCATACCAATGTTTGTTAACATCTTTTCCAAAGTGTTTGCACATTATGCAGTGTAATTATTATTATTATTATTATTATAAACTTTACTGATTTTTTCCTTTTTATTTTGGGAAAAGTATGTTATTTAAAACATTTATAGATACTAAAGACACCTTTCAAAACTAAGCAAAGTATAAAGAAACATAAATATTTTCATTAAAAATAAAGGAAATACTTTTGAACTGCTATATAATATCAATCCTTGTATAGGCAACAAATGCTGGATAATTTCCTGATAGATGAAGAGGATACTTGAAACAACAGTGATGTAGTTTTACAGAAGGATGATAAAGATAACATGGATGGAACATGTGACTAGCAAGGAAGTTTTGAGAAATATAGAAACAAAAAGGACACTTGTAGAATCAGAAAAAGTGTTGAAATTTCAAGGACACAAGGAAGGAGTGACTGGAGAATTTGACAATCACAGGATATATTGAAGGTTTATATAATCTGAATCATTTTTTCTTTTTTAAAAAAAGAAAGCAATGTTATAGAGTTATCTAAAATCTTGGAGCTAAGAGACCCTAAAGATGATGTAGTATCATCTTGAAATTCATGTTTTCTATTTAGAAATTTGTAAATTCCAGGGGTAATCTCACTGCACTTTACTTTAAATTTCAGAGTAGGTTACACTATAAAATAAAAACAATTGTTTAAGCACAGCTGGAAAATCTCAAGATAAAGTTAAAAAGATAAGCAAAGTAGAAAATAGTTTGCAACAACTAGAAAGTAAAATGATTCTTACTTGAAAATTTTATCTATTCATTAAAATTTTATCTATTCATTAAAATTTTATCTATTCATTAAAAGAGTGTTGGGATCAAATATGGATTTGAATCCAACAGAATAAAAGGATAAGGAAAAAATAGAAAACGTTTATAAAAATAATGTTTCTCTTTTATTAAAGCTTCATCAGAGAATGAAATATGGAAGACAAAAAGAAAATTCTGCTATTTTTAATTTTTATGGTGTTTGTTTTTCATTGGTTAGGCAAACCTCACATGCATCTGTGTTGTCAAGCAGCGTTCATGTATATAATTTGTTTTTGTATATGTATCATGATTCTAGTCTGTCTATGCAGGACTTGGATGATAACGTATATTCATTTGTTTGTGTGTGTATCTAGTAAGCATTTTTAAACACAAAAATTAAAAATAGAATTTAAAAAAAAAATGATGACTAGATGCACATGCACACACACACACACACACATGGATATACATTATCATCTGAATCCCACATAGACAAACTAGAATTATGATACACATACGCACATGAATCATACACATGAACACTGCTTGACAAGACAGATGCATGTGCAATCTGCTTAACCAATAAAAAACGACACAAAAATTTTCCTATTTTATCAATTCTTATTTCCTAAGTAGTTTAGCATCTTTTCCCACACCACTTTTTCCTATTCTTTATAATTTTTTTGACTTTCCAACACACCACACACATACACAATAGGCACACAACAGTTTTTATATATTAAATTTTTTCAAAAAATATCTGCCAGTAGGCATTTGTTCAGCTTAATTATTTGTTAAGGTAGTTGTTAAGCTTAATTATTGGAAGGACTTAACTGATTAGTGTTTGTGAGACCAACTCACTAACCATCAATTTCCTTTTTCCTTGTAGAAGTGTTTTTGTTTGGTACGCATGCAAATTAAGACACATGCAACTTCCAAATTTTATTATGGCATCTTCCATTCTCTGAGTTAAAATCACATTGCATATCAACATTAACTTTTATTGGATAATTTTTTTTGTTCTAAACTGCATTTCATGTTACATTTAAGTAAATATAGAATACAAAAGAAATAGATGTTATAAATAAATAAAATAAGAAAATATTGTTCATTTATATCTGAACACTAATTTACATTATTTACATGTGTATTATTGCCACATTTTTGTTATCATCATCATAACATTTCAGATGTTGGAAATTCTAGCCTTCTTCAGGTGTCTGTTTACCCAGATAACATTCAAGGAATTTTGATCAGGGCCCATTATTTAATGGAGTAGATTGTCTTCATTCTGTGGTCAGTGTTTGAGGATATCTTGTGCTATTTTTGGTACTACTCAGTTATTGCTAATTCTGTTTCAATGTAGTCTAAGTTTTACTACTTTACTATACTGCCAAATTCACAAAGCAATGCTCTGAATTCCAGCAGACATCGGAAAAGGGCCATGAATGATGTGATCATAGTAAAAAAGACGAGGACATTAATTAGACCAGGAATAATATAAATAATGATAACTCCTCATCTGATAAATTCAGATAGAAAGAATGAAATGTCTTTAGTTCTTGTCAGTGTCTAACAACAAAGTGCCTCTTGAAAATGAAAAGGTGAACATCATTTGAATCATATCTTAAACAGTTTTTTTTTTGTGTGTGTGATTATATATATATATATATATATATATATATATATATATATATATATATATATGACCAGACCAGCTTGAAACTGGTCTGAAACTGGTCTGGTCATATATATATATATATATATATATATATATATATATATATATATATATATATATGACCAGACCAGTATCAAGCATAATTTACCATTCTTTTAATGTCACCCAGAAAAATAAAACAAAGCATGAAATACTTAGACATTTATGTAAAATTTTGTGGGCAATTTTTAATGTTATAAACGAAAGTGCCTAGAGAAAATAGAAATTATTTTCATGTTAAAATCAACATATATATTCATCTATAAAAAGTGCATGTAAAATTGCAACTCTATGAATATGTGTTTCAGTTTACTTAAGATTAATTTAAGTAATATGGCTGGATTATATTAAAAGATCACACATACAGATCAATATATGCACAGGTTCCATAATAAGAAATGTATCAACAATATTCAAACCCCTTATTAATGCACTATTTATCTTCCTTGGTAATTAACACAGGCTTGTACTCTCATATGCATATGATGTATACAAATAGCAGATATTGTCCTGTGGCACTTTATTCAATGCCTTTTGCACCTGTTGGCACAATACAGAAAGAGTAATTAACTGAATAAGTTAGGTATTGTTCAGTCATATCCCATACGTGTTCAATGAGGATAGGTCTGACAATTATGCCAGCCAGAAAAGTTATTGAAAACCTTGTAGAGCATGTTTGCTGGCATCATGTGGGCATGCATTATTCTGCTGGAACAGCATGTCACCTTCCTGTTATAAGAATTTTATTAGAACTTTTTGAACAATGTTCTGGATGTATATATCACTGTTCAAACCTTCCTCTACAAACACCAAAGGCAAATGAAAGTTGTCACTTATGACACCCTGCACCATGATGCCAAGAGTATGGCCTGTGTAACTTAGGTAAATATACTCTGGAAGGTGTTGATTCACAAGTCTACATCACACACAAAACAAACCATCAGTTCAATGAAGGCAAAACTGACTCTCATTAAAAAGTACAGAGCACCATTTGATCTACTAAGGGACACTTTTATGACACCACTGGAGATGTGCACAGCAGTAGTGTGGTGTGTGGAAGTATTGCTAGATGCTTGCATGCCTGTAGTCCTGTTGCAAGTAAATGTTTCCTAACAGTCCTGAAGCCACACTTGCTCTGATCTGTGCTATGGATACTGTGCAATCTGCCACTGCTGCCCTTACAATATGTTGATCTTGGAGGTCATCTGTACTACACCACCATACAAAACTTGGAATATAGGTGCAGGAATGCTTATTTGATCACTTGCCATCAACAAATGTGTCACATCCAACATGTGCAGTCTCTACAGTCAAATCATGCTGAAAACATCAATTCTCATGTGATCACTGAAACTAAGCAGTATCAAGCCTGGTCAGAACTTAGATGGGTGACCATTTGGGAGTACTGGGTACTGTAAGCAACCTCTTACAATTCAAAATATGTTTTAGTTTTAAATAATCCATAAAGGGTTGATAAGCCAAAAAAAAAAAAAATCAACCATCATGTGCAGTAATTATCTGAAATGACCATTCAACCTCTTGAAGGACTTCAATATAACTCCTTTCAAATGACTGAAGTTGAACAAAAGTTCAAATGTGTACATCTCAATGGTATGATACCTTCTTACACTTTTTTGCTATTTCACTAGCCTGAACCTTATTGTACCATGCGTCACTGTCTAAGTTTCTGACAGAGAGAGTGTTACTATGTAACGAGATAACTGAAAACTCAGATTATTCACTACTCACAAGCATGCATATTTTCCCCAGATGAACCTCATCCTTCAAGGTGTTGGAATTTTATTTTCTATCAGTGTCAGTGTGTGTGTATACACACACACACTTTCAGATTTACACATCAATGTTTTCACAGAAAAATTGGTATTAACCAACAAATTGTTTAAATACATATGTGCAATAAATAATCTTCAGCTAATTATATATATCCTTATTAAAAATAATGAGAATAATTTGCTTTGGGGATGACTGGTTTTATTCAGCAGAAATTTTTATTTATAATTAGAACCAAAATATGTTAACAATAGAAGCACTTACATTATTTAGTTATGGTAAACATTTAATTCTAAACTGATATTAATTTGAATTAATGAAATATCAAGAAAAATCAAAATGTTATTGTTTTTCAATTCAATTGAAGCTTCAGTTTTGTTTACTTTTGAGATTTAATAATTTACTTTTGTGCAGATATGCTAGTATTGTGTCATCTTTATAATGAAGCTATTTACGGTCTTTGGATAAGAAGTTTTGAAATGACCAAGTTCTAAAAAAGCATGCTTAAACATCACTGAGCAGAAAGGTTGAATTATTGTTTGTAAAAATTATTGAATTTTGAAAAAAACATTGTCTTATACTAAGTTGTCTTATTTTTCATAATATAGATTTTGTTTTTTGAAATAAATTTTTCTGATAATGCAAAACATGTCCAATTGTTTCTAAATTGTCTTACTATATGTAGGCAGTAGTATTGACCCTTGGGTACTATGGAAAAGAATTGGCGTGACATGACATGATTGCTTACAACTTTCAGGATCATCAAAGACAATGTGAACTTGATGGGTATTATTTTGGGTACCTCTGAGATTAGTAACAGCCACATGTTGTTCATCCTGTTCAACTTTTGGTCTTAGTCAATGTTCTCATCAGAAAAGAATCAGTGTATGCCAGACTCTTTGGGGTGCTTGAGCTTTTGCTTTTATCAGATTGTACAGTTCTCCTTGGTCTTGTTGGATATGAACTTCCCTCTTTTCATTGTTGACCTGGAACCTATTGTTCCCATGCACCATATATTTGATAGTGAACTCCACCACCTTGAGTTGCTCTCCTAGACTTGCTAAGGTTGTGGTCAAAGATGTCCTGCACTGCTGGACAGATTTTGATGTCCTCATAAGATTTGACCATTTAAAATCTTTCTTTCTCAGGGTCTTGGATGATACATCCCTACTAGTGGCCCCCAAATCATTCCTGAACTTGAATACAAAAGACATGACCATTTTAAAGAAGTTGGCTGTTTGTGAGTTGTTGTGATTGGTGGTTAGTGCCATGAATCTGTGTGCCTTTTCATTTCTTATGTCAGATTGTGAGCTACTCATGGTGCATTTGAGAGAGAAATGAAAATTTTAAAACCTAGCACATATTATGCCATTTTGTTGGTTTATCTTACATTTATAGCCCAATAAAATTGTGTTCTCAAATATCTTGTACATCTGTGTGTATATATATATATATATATATATATATATATATATATATATATATATATATATATATATATTTGGTGGACATTGTATTTGATGTATGAGAGTCAAGCAGCTCAGTTCCTAGGAAGGAATCAAGGTCCTAGACACCAGCACATGTGATTTGATTATAGTGGTGAAGGCTTTGTGCAGAACCAACCACACTTTTTGAAGGGCCAAATACAGAGATCTAGTGCACTGCATGCCACAAGGTCCCCAAATCACTCTCTGCAGCTTTTGAATTCACAGTTGTCCTCCTAGACCAGTTGCTATCCAAGGCTATAGAACCCAGTCTGTCCTGCTATTTACCCATAGCTGGAGGGAGAAGAAAATTCTTAAACTATAATATTGTATGAAAGAAATAGCAATATAATGCCAGTGTCCCTTCATCTTATCTTCTGACAAATAACATCTGTATTTTGCCCCTAAGGATGATCAGAGAATTGCTAAAAGCACTAGAACCAATGAACAGTCTTTGCAGAGTCTTGAATAGACTATTCATTCCCTTGTATGAAAACAAGAGAAATTAGATTTAAAAAAAAATAACAAAATAATCCATCTCTGTTGTATTTAATTATATAATGATAAAATGAAAAATTGCTGCCCAAATATATATTATTTTTGTGTGTGTGTGTGTTAATCCCTATCAAGTTTGACAAGAGCTGTAAAAATTTTTTACAGTTATTATTACCTGAGTGGTTGTCATGGGCAATTGATTTGCATAAATATTCACTCCACCAATCTCTTTTCTGTCAGCTATTGTGACATGCCAGTAGTGAGACCTTTTTATCAAGCTGCAATGCGATAGAGTGTAAGCTCATTAGCACTAAGTGAATATGTAGCCTCATCTGACTGGAAAGTATCCAGCCTTTTTGAATATCTCAAGAACTTGATAAAATTTGGCAATCACTCAGAGGTAACCTTACTTCTTATGTGTAAAAAGAAACTCTCCGGTCAGGTTACTCATTTGACAGTAAAAGAGAATTTGTATTCATAATAACACCTTGTTTACAATTTGGAGTTAAAACAGCATATCATCCAGGTCTGTCCCAGAGATTTCTAACTTTTCCCAAAGTTAAAAATAATCATCTACAGGGAAGTTCAATTCTATAAATAAGATTAAATTTTAATGAAATCCAACAAAGCTTCTGATAGCAATCCCAGAAGCTGATTTTAAAAATTGTTTTCAAAAGTGAAAGGGATACTGGGATAAGTATGTAAGGTCTCAAGGGGGTACTTGGGGAAAAAAAATAAGATTTCATTTCTCTGAGTAAGGCCTTTTTTCATTAACATTAATATCTGGAACTTTCAAGAGAGGGCTTGTATAAAGAGGGTGATGTATTTGCACCTGACAAATTTGTGCTTAATTTGAAGAATTTTCACATTGATTTCATATAATCTGTATATCTAAGAAAATTTAAATTTGATGACATCTAGAAGTAGGAGAAAATATTTAAATTATTGTCAAAAACTGAGTGGGAAGATTACTGGTTGATTGATATGAGCAATCTGGAATCTTCTGCAAACAACAGACGTAGATTTTACGTTATGTTTCAATGCATTCTGGGAGGGTGAACAATGACAATAAACCAGTCCTATTGTGTAAGCAGCCAATTTTTATATTTTATTACTACACTAGAATAACAAAGTAAACATTTTCATTTGTAAAGAAAGGAAAATAAAGATTTGTTTTGTCTGAATGTTGATAATGATAATCTTTAAAAAAAAGAAAAAAAGAATAGTGAATTTAAAAAATGAATACAAAGGCATTGTAGTAGTGAACAATTCTTTTATTATTAATAGAAGTTCAGTTAGTTCATATCTACGTCCATAGTGTGCATACACACACACACACACACACACACACACACACACACACACATATATATATATATATATATATATATATATATATATATATAGTTGTATGCAAAAGTATTCAACCCCCTTTTTTACTTATTTTTATAACCCCCCCAATTAATCATTTCAAATTTAAATTGAAATTAAACTACTCAATGTCAGAAAAATTTAAAATGTGAATTGATAATAAATAAGAGAGAATTAAAATTATTGTTTTATTTCCATAATTATCAGTTCTTTATCATAAATAGCTTTTTTTATGAGTATTCAAGCCCCTCAACGAATACTTGGTTGAGAGTTGAGATTCCTTTGACAATGATCAATGTTAACAGACAATTTCTGTAGCTTTTGATAAAGCTTCAGCATCTTTCAATTGGTTTTTTCAACTATTCATCTCTGCAGAATCATTCCAAATTGTTTGGTTTTGATGGCTTCCTATTATAAACAACAGTTTTCAATTCATATCACAAATGTTCTGTTTTTATGTGGAGTCAGTTACTGAAAATGACATTCCATTCTTCTTTTATGTGCCATCTTCCTTCAAAACTTCCTGTCTTTGTTGCTCTGAGTAACTTTTGACCATTTACCAACACTCTGTATCCCTATTCTGCCATCCCTTCATGCAAACTCATAAAGTAGGTTATTTGCTGTTTACTCCTGTTTCTCATGTCTTTACTGCAGTGTTAGATTTTCCAGGCTTACTTTCCATATTGTCTATCTTAGAAATTTCACCTGTCACTTTCTAATTTTAAGTTTAGATTTCCATGTATTTTCTTTTTTCCTTAAAACTTCCTCATTTTCATTTGTGAATAGATGCCAAACATTTGTTGTTAGAAAAAAGACTAGATATTACATAGCAGTTCAGCACACCTCTTTGTTTCTAATGATATTTTCCTATTTCTTAATACTTTGTTTTGTTTCTGGAATGCTTCTTTTGCTATTCTGTATCACATTTTTCATCATTTCTTGCTACACTCAATAGTTGAATTTCTGTACCTGCTTGATTTTGATGATCCCCAATACACACTTCACATCTTACCCTAACCTTATTCTACTTAGATCACTGAAGATATTTTTTAAAGTACATTTTAGGTTTGGAAGATGAATTGCCTACCAAATCTAAGCTGGACAGCAGACTGTAAAGGATTTTTTCTTTGAAAGAATAAACTGATATTTTAGCAAATCCATATTTCCCTTGGCCCTAGTGAGTTTTTCAGTACTATTGATTGAGTGATTATTTTCTATGACTTATCAACTTTTTGCAGGTTATTTGAAGCCAGAAAATATTTTTAAATTGTAAGAATT